TATAACATGACAATATTTACATAATGCCGAGCTTTCCTTTCGTGCGAGAAAACAAAGTATGTCCACAATAACACAACGTTTATCAATGTCAACAATAATCTTCAAGCAAAATCAGTCACGGTGACCTAAATGAGTACAACATTCTAATCGAAAATGTAGCACGAAATTGTAGATTACATACGCGCATGTTCAGTTTAGATGGGTCAGTGAGTGACTTTGTTTTAACTCGGCTTTGCACCGTATAGTTAGTATGTCACGAAAACTCCAAGTGACACAGGTCTCAGACGTTTACCACTTTGGTGAAAACCCACGAACACGGGCATGGTGCTAACAAACCTAGAAACATAATCAGGTCGAACTGGGATTCGAACCCACGCATTTGGACAACTCTTTATATTCGGTAATATAAAATATATCCTGTCATTGAAGAACGCTATGATAACTGGTTAGACTAGTTGGAAAAAATATATGACTATTAGACGACGATACAATATAGAAATGGGTCTACTGAACGCCAGCAACTAAAGTGAGGTCACCACGCTATGGTGACTTACGGTACCTCTGCTACCCTCACAGTTCCGCAACAATGTTTACACCTTTCCTTTGATGATTGGCTATTGGCCAGAGATTAAAACAAATAAGTATTCTGCGATTAAAATAGAGGTTGATATAATCCTACATTGACAGCCACTAAGAATCTCAGCTGTTGCTATTTCTTCTTATTTATTTATTCTCAGTTAATGAAACAATCCCATTTCTTAAAACACAATATTAAATGAGAGAAAGGGGTCTTTGAATAAAGGCACTTAGAAGTTCGTTTCCCTTTGAGATGAAAAAATCAACACAATGAAGAAGAACATTATTGGCTGTGATTCTCTCATCACAAGGGATAGACAAAAATATTGTATATATATATCTACACGACGTTGTGATACGACCTCTTTAAATCTTGACTGACAATACAAGTAGGTTGATTTTTTTGAAAATCTCTAAATATTTCTGTTCCAAAAAAGGTAAATTCTACTGAACTTATTGACTTTAGAGACTTTGCTTTAACATCCACAGCTAGGAAGGTTATTCAATTATCTTTTGCGCGACATAAGTGATTCCATGAGCTTTGCATAGAGAGCCAGGCAGTTGGTTGACGACACTACAGCGTTTTCTACAGCTTATGTTGACTTTTTTATTGACTTTACACTTGGTTTCCTAGTTGACAGTTTATCTATTTTATATGAAAAAAGTGTTTCAAAGTTATCACTGAAACTCTTAGCTGACGTGATTGAAAAGGGTGTGTCAGAGATCAGATTTCTATGGCCAGGACTCAAATGCACTACATTTCTGATGCATTTTGAAGTGAGAAAATAAACGTAATAAATATTATATTTGGGATAACACTTTCTAAGTAAAGTACAGATTCTCGTACTTTTTTGGGTTGAGTCCCGTCCGGGTTATCCCAAATATAACATTTGTTCCATTTGACCACTTTCTAAATGGCATTGTGTATTCGGGGAAAATAAACACTCAATATGACATAAATTACTTCAGAATCAGATTATTATGGTTAACCATTATGGTCAAAGAAGTTGATTGATTTGAAATGTCATACATGAGGGATAACCTCATTTTCTCAAATATCCCTGACAGTGAGCCATCTTGGTGAATTTGAGAACTGCTATGTTGCCTGATTCAGAGATGTTGAAGGTTACTTCAAGAAACATGATTGATTTGCCAACTTCTTATTTCAAGTGGGGGGCAATGGTGGCCCAGTCGTCTGAGGCGCCGCGATTCGCTGTGCAGAGCTGTGTCCCTTGGGCACGCCAGAAACCTATGATTGTGGGTTCGTAGGTTTGTCAGCACCATACCCGTGCTCGTGGGTTTCACCGAAGTGGTAAACGTCTGAGACCTGCATCACTTGGGGCTTTCCTCCCACTTTAAACTGACACGCCGCGATATAACTGGAATACTGTTAAAAGCGGCGTTAAACCAAAGTCACTCACTCACTCACTTATTTCAAGTGGAAAGATTAACTTGAACTCGAATTGTTGTGCGATTTGAGACCTAAACTAATTAATACTGCACATGAAACTCATCTCTGCAGTGTTCGGACAAAACAGTTTTTTCATGCAAGATTCTGTTAGCCCATATGGATGTCAATATCAATAAGATTAAAAAGATGAAAGCTACTTTAGCGCGTTTTTGTATTAGGAAGCAGCGGGATGAAAAGGCATGTGGGTGTCAATGAGCTGTTTAAACTGTAGATGCATGAATTGTTGTAGTTGACAAGGAAAGTTGGAGCAGCGTATTTAGCTTAACAATGAGTGTGGGATGCATATGTCTGGACGACTCAGTGTTACTTAAGTAGCTTGACAAGATGTGGCAGGTAAGTGAACTTTCTGATTAAACTATTGACACTAAGTGACAGTGTGTGATTAAGTAAACAGGATGTGAGGAATTATTTATTTACTCACATTGGCAGGTTTGACAATGTGTGGAAGAAATGAAAAAAAATGTCGTCGTAGATTAACATGTTTTGTTTGTTTTGGTCTGAAAAAAAATGTGAGTGTGTCACTTGCACATGGTGCAGATTTACAGTATTGAATCAACCATTGGGAGATGATAGTGTAAAGGTTGCGAGGTTCAAAGGATGCCATTGATATTGTTTGTCCTGTTGGAACAGATTTCTTGTTGACAATGATTGATTAATTCATCTTATCCATTTGCGGTGTTGATTTTAAAACTCAAAACAACAAAACAGATTACAAAAGACTATTATGATACAAAAACAGTTTACAATAAAATTAAAACCACAGTTCAAATGGGAATGAAACAAACTCTGTAGTTGCATGGTTACAATCATATATAAACAACTCTCAGCAGTAGTTTTAAAGGCTAAAAAATTAATCAGAATGAAACAAAACAAAAAACAGTTGCAGTTGAGACAATTGTGAGTTGACAAAAATGTGTTAATCATATTTCAACCTAAATCTAATAAATTCTGTTCAAACATTTGCTCAAAGGCGCTCAGTCAAAGGCTTTGCAGCAGAAAGCTGTTTTGAGACGTTTCATGAACGTGCGAAAGACTGTTGTACTTGAATGTGAGTCTCGAGTCCATTCGAGTGTAGTGGTCCAGCTTTTGGTCCAGATTGGAGTTTGGTCATATTCATTTGTCCCACTCTTGAGTTTTGCAGCTGAACTTTGTGCTCTATGAAACTTGTTGGTGGTTTGCTGAGGTGCTCAATACATAAAGGAATGACAGGGGTCCCGACATGAGATCAAGCATGCCTGGATTTTTATCTTGACTGTCTGTGTCATGTTCAGTTCGACCGATGTTCCTCAGATTTAAGGAGGCCGTTTAGAAGTAGAGCGTCCGCCCGGAGAGCGGAAGGTCAGGGGTTCGATCCCCGGCCGTGTCATACCAGAAGACGTTGAAAGATGGTACTTGTTGTTAACCTGTCTGGAGCTCGACATTAAGAGGCTAAAACAAGGAATGGTCGGCTCGGAGTCGGTATACTGTGAGTCTTTTAAACTGTAGATGCATGTATGACTGTAGCTGACGAGGAAAGATGGAGCAGCGTTTTTAGCTAAACAATAAGCGTGGGTCGCATATGTCTGGACTGCACAGGAACATGATTTGGTTGGAGATTTTATAGTGAGGGGAGAAGCCTTTGTTTCTTCCCAAACAGCAAACTGTTTCTGCACTGCAGATCTCTGTCTGTGTTGTAGCCTCTCTTTTATACCTGTTTTGAAATGTGATGCTTTAGTTTTATCGATAAGTTTGTTAACATATCACGTGATACTGAAAGCATCTGTCTATGGATTGTCAAGTTAGTTCTCATCATTGTCTCTCTAACTGACGGGGGCCGGTCGGATAGCCTAGTGGTTAAAACGTTCGCTCGTCACGCCGAAGACCCGGGTTCGATTCCCGACATGGGTACAATGTGTGAAGCCCATTTCTGGGGTCCCCTGCCGTGATGTTGCTGGAATATTGCTAAAAGCGGCGTAAAACCATACTCACTCACTCACTCACTCTAACTGACGGCGCTGATGTTTCTCCTTTCTTATCTCATCTGACAACGAGGCTGTCGGACACCTCACGTTCATTGGTGGAGCATGCTTGTCTAGAATCCCACCAAACTGCTTGTTGTAAATACTGACAGATTCTAAAAGATCGCCCGAAACAACATCGGTAGTGCACATCCTGTGGGAACAAGATGAAATCCGTCTACTTCCTACTTCTGACATCTTATTTCAGGTTTATCTCATAGTTAGGTTATATTTACTGTAACCACTGCACACACATGACCAAACAGTGCCAAGTTATCATGTATAATGTTCAAGAAGTGCAACCAATCCGATCTTGTGATAAGTAAATCCGATCTTGTGTCCATTACTTTATGTTGGAAACAGAATGTGCTGAACAAGATTCTTTGAGACCAACAGTGACCTTAACAGTTGTCATTAATATTATGACCGTGGATATTGAAATCTTCACAAATGATAACTTTTCCATTTGAGTTCTTTAATTCATCTGTCAAATCTGACAAGTCCTGTTGCAGGTGGTCTTTACCCAACCTGAGTAAGCAACTTTTGATTGCACACATTCAAATTCAGCGTACGTTACTTGAAAGAAACTGCAGGTTTCAACCCAGTAGCACTTTTGCAGTCGATAGTTTGAAAAAGTACAACACAATATACACCTCCACGTTTTAACTTTCCTTGGAGCGTGAATTAGTAGCCAGCTAGGACAAGTTTGTGTTTTGCGATATTGTGATCGCATGGACATCAACATTATTATTATCTGTCAAATCACACATTGCTGGAGCGTTATCATTTGTTAAACTTGCAGATCTTGCGTTCAGACAACCAAATCTAAAAGTGAGATGCTGTTCACTTTCTTCACCAACAGAGAAAACTGGAATTTCATATATATATATAGCTTCCCCTTGATCACTGTTTAGCATGCATATCGCTACATCTCCCATTACTTCTCAACATTATTTTCACTGGGTAAACAATACATTGCTTAGGATGCCATATGATGTAAGAATATGAAACACCGACATGTGTCGTCCTGCAGCTGCCATCATCGCTGGTGTTGAACTTTGATTATTGATTGCCTTAATCTCACAAAGTTGATGAAAGAGCAAATAATTGACCATTTCCACGCGGCCTCTAAGGCAGGCCACATGAAGGCAGCTGTTGCCGAAATGATCGTTGATGGAAATATCAGACTGTCTTTTGACAAGCAGGTCAAACACTCGCCAGTGTCCAAACTCGGCTGCAATCATCGCAGGCGTCCTCCCATACATTCCCTTCCCGTTGATGTCAACAGTGCCAAGTGAAAGGATAGAGCTTACAATCCCCACGTCTCCTCCAACACAGGCTAGGTGAAGAATGGTACTATTGCCATCAACCTCTGGTTTCATGTCGATGCCTTTACTCAAAAGGACTTCAAATACTTTTCTGTGTCCCTTTTCGGCTGCCATCATCACGGGTGTCCTCCCAGTCTTTTCTCTTTTGTTAATATCCACAATGTCCTGTAACAAGACATACTCCACTATCTCCTCATCTCCCCCAGTGCAGGCTGCATGGAGGATACTTGCACCACCAGCATCAAGCGTCATATCACATCCTTTTTCCACTAGTAAAGAAAACACTCCTCTGTGTCCTTTCCTAACAGCCATCATTACCGGTGTCCATGAATCCTGTCCAGGACCATCGATGTCGACATTGCCCATCGATAGGAAGTGTTGGACCACTTCAACATCTCCTACTGTACAAGCCCAGTGGAACGCGGTGTTACCACGATCGTCCATTAGCGATGTATCAGCTCCTTCTAGCAAAAGCAGGATGAGCAGTTCTCTACACCCTGACACTGCTGCCATCATCGCTGGTGTCATACCGCACTTTCCCCTGCTGTCGATGTCAATGATGTTCCATGAGAGGACACACTTCGCCATCTCAACATCACTTTCACTGCAGACCAGATGAAGGATGTTGTTTTTGTCATCATCTAGTAATGAGACGTTGCCTCCTTTCTTTACAAGGACGTCTACGTCCTTTCATTCCTGCTATCATAACAGAGGTTCTTCCATACTTTCCCCTACTATTGATGTCAAAGATGTCCTTTGCAAGGACATACTCCATCATCACTAGATCTCCTTCAAGACAGGTCATATGGAGGAAGTTGTTACCATCGTCATCCAGTATGGACAAATCCTTTCCTGCACGTACAAGGAAATTAAGTGCTAATCTTCGCTCTGCTGTCCTGTTCATCCTGATCACATATGTTTGGCAGAGATCCCTCGACTATTAACGTCCACAGACCCGCAGAGAAGATATTTCACACTGATCAGTTACCCGTTCTATGTGAAGTTGAAGAATCTGCAAACCCAAAGAATTACAACTGACACTGGTCTTATTTCATAAACATATATGGTATTGTGGTGGAACTTCAGAGATCGTTTTCGAGCATGGGAGGAGTGGGTGGAGCATGTGACCTTAATGTCTGTCTATGCATAGATTATTGATGAGATATTAACTGTTTTTGACAATTACCATATTCGACGTAATAAGCGCCAAGGGCGCTCTCAAAATTAGAAATAGGGAGCTCTTTTTAGAATATTATTTTGGTGAAAAAAAACAGAGTTACAGGATAAATGTCATGGTTTATGCTGACAGCCTGAAATGTTTATATACAACAGATATATTTTTCCAGAATTTAATTGCCCATAATTAAAGGTGCATATAACACACGAGTGCCTATTATATGCGAATAAATAAGTCTTGTGTACATTGATCAATCGGAAGGGGTGCTAATTGGGATTGTTCACTAGCTGATATAGCTAATGGGCGCTTATCGGAGGGGGGCGCTTATTACGTCGAATACGATATTTAAGAGAGAGAGAGAGAGAGAGAGAGAGAGAGAGAGAGAGAGAGAGAGGGAGACTCTGTTGTATTGACCATAGAATTGTTCTATAACTGTTAGTTTTGACTGTACAAGACTAGAGTCCTACCTTCATCACTTGAAAAATGTCAGATTCATTCGCCATAATTGTCCTGACCCTCGTACCGGAAGATCAGGTTTGTATTGCCTTTTAAAAAATACTAAAATTCCTTCGCCTGAAGTAAATTTGTTTGAACTCTGTAATTGCAACACTGTAACTGGAACTGTCTTGCTTAATCTGACCTTGTCCCTAAAAGCGTTATGAACGATTACAGAGCAAATTCTAGTGGATCAACGTCCTTGAAATCAAAAGTGACGCCGTGTCCTTGTCGACTATTGATACCCACACATTAGACAGAAGGTCAACTTTCCCTGGACCACTGAAATGACGATGGACCAACAAACACTTGAAAGTAGCATCTCTGTTTTGGTAAGCTGATGTCCAAGGCCCACCTTAGTCTGTACCAGTACCTCTACTTAATGCAGAACACACACAATAAAACACTACATGTCCAGTACCAGGAAGGGGTCAACAACCAGCAAAACGAAGGCAGCATCGGCAATCATTTTCCAACTTAAGAGGCAGCACACACTTATTTATTAGTCAATAAAACCACCATTGGTACATACGTACTGAGCTACGGTCTTCAAGCTGGTACAATAACCGGGATGGAGAGTGTGTATGGCTCCCTGTGGATAAGGCCAAACTATCACATCATGACGTGAATTTGGTTTTATGGGTGTATATATTTATTCATCTGGATAGGGCTATCGATGCGATATATCAATCCGTTAAACTCACGATCCGATAAATATGCAAATGAGATCACCCAGCAGGAAATGCTTACAAGCCCCATATATCGATGCATTGTCTGCTTGAGCACTAAATTATTGACTCAGTCTGGCATTCCCAAGTAGGTTTAGAAAGGAGGTTCCCGACGAATGGGTGTTTCTGCAGATAAACATGGCTTCAAATGATTTGGCATTATATATTAAACATTGTATTCATACGCAACTAAAGTTACTTCAATGACTGAAAATAAGTCTTAAACATTGATTATTTTGAGAATGACATTATATGATAAGTTATTTTTTCTATCGGGTTTTTCCGTACTTAATGTCATATGAAAACAAATATGTTTTATATTTACATTTTTATTACAAATATAAGCTATTTACGCTACGGAAACACACGAGGAAAATAATCGCTTATCATTAATGTCATTCTAAAAATAATCAATGTTAAAGGCTTATTTGCACTGAAATTAACTCTCTCTGTGTAAGTTTCTAAATGGGGATGTTTTTAATGTTTCAGCGTGGCTCACTCACTCACATGCCTTGGTTTTGTAACAATGTTTGTGTTTTGATGAAGCCATAAGATGTGTCAATAATATGTGTAATAAAAATACTTATGTATGGTGTGAAATGCAGTAAAGTCGAACTGAGCTTAGCTGCAGGCGTTTGTTTAAGGATTGTAAATAGTCCTACCGAGCACCTAATGTCATCACTGATTTTCAGTTATCGATTCATATGAATTCCGCCGCTGTTTTGCCTTTCACGCCAAAAGGAATCGGTTTCGGCGGATAATCGAGACTGGTTGTTCTCTGGCGTTGACGTTTTATTTTATCTTGTTATTTATTATCCTGTGCTGACTATCAAAGTGGTAATGATTCTCACGAAAAATCTATGTTTTACCCTGAATGCCGCTTTGGCGAGAAACACGCATACTGTAAGAACACACTGCAACCACTTTATCATAGGCGTCGTCCTCAGGGGTATCGTTTCTTTTGGAACATACTTGGGAAGATACTACAGGTTTTACACAATAAAGAAATAAAGTAATTTGTTGTTGTGTTTTCAACGGTTGTTCGGCTTATTCCCCTTCAGAGACATATGTCTTTTTCAAACACTATAGGCTCTCCACTTCCCCTTCAACCCATCCTCAATTCCTCTAACCCCCCCCCCCCCCCCACACACACACACACACACCAAAAAAACAAAAAAAAACTCGTGTCCTCTAAATGATATAGATACTGAGTGTAATTTAACTACAACAAAATACTACAAACATTGTCAATGTCGATTGTAGAAGTCTGAATGTTGATAAATGTGTTCTATAAAGACAGACATGACTGTGAGGAAAGGTAACCATGACCAGCTCACAATAATAAATCATTCGTATACAAGTTGACCCATTTTCAAGCCTTAATATGCTTATGAGAAACTGACGATAAAATCAACAATTCAGATGGGTTTTCTCCCGCTGGATGGTAAAACAAAAATAAGACAAGAGAACAAGTCATGAGTTCTTTTGTGTCTAAATAGTCTATTCCAATATTACAAATATTAAGTCTTATCGCATATGAACGTCTCAGCCAGGTATGTGCAGCGTCAGCTGTGCTTACATTTTAAGACCTGCGCTTATTCACTACTTGACATGCCCTATGTGTTGTATATCTTTCTTTATTATCATTCAAAAGGGATATAACCCCAGTCACCAGTTTCCAAGCTATCACGGTCGCCAGTAAATAATGAAGCCTGCCACAACCCCTCCTTTATATCTTGGCAACGACGAGCATAGGTTACTTGCGACCCGTACTACTACGTGATCTCCCTGGGATATGAAATGTAGACACGGCGTGACTATTTTAAGATGAAAACCTTTTAGTGATTAGATATTATATCACGTCTTGTCAATGGTGATCATATTTGTCTAAAGATCCCTGAAAGGGATTAAAAACACATACACTGCATTCATAATAGCGCAGGATGAGAAAGGAAAAAATATTTTTTTCACCATACGTTAATGGTAGTTTAAACGACATTAAAATAAATCTGTTTTTTATCACAGTACCACCAACCCTCTATGGTCGCAGAGCTCGCGTGTTTGAACGGCGCGAGTTTTCCAGTCTGGTTTGGAGATCGTTCTGGTGGCAAACACGGCTGTTTGATTTGGAGATCGTCCTGGTGACAAACAAGACTGTATGGGTTGGAGATCGTCCTGGTGGCAAACACGGCTGTATGGGTTGGAGATCGTCCTGGTGGCAAACACGGCTGTATGGGTTGGAGATCGTCCTGGTGGCAAACACGGATGTATGGGTTGGAGATCGTCCTGGTGGCAAACACGGCTGTATTGGATGGAGCTCGTCCTGGTGGTGAAGACGACTGTATGGGTTGGAGACCGTCCTGGTGGCAAACACGGCTGTATAGGTTAGAGATCGTCCTGGCGACCAACACGACTGAATGGGTTGGAGACCTCCCTGGTGGCGAACACGGCTATACGGGTTGGAGACCGCCCTGGTGGCAAACACGGCTGTATGGGTTGGAGACCTCCCTGGTGGCGAACACGGCTGTATAGGTTGGAGATCGTCCTGGTGGCAAACACGGCTGTGTGGGTTGGAGACCGCCCTGGTGGCAAACACGACTGTATGGGTTGGAGATCGTCCTGGTGGCAAACACGGTTGTATGGGTTGGAGACCGCCCTGCTGGCGAACACGGCTGTATGGGTTGGAGATCTTCCTGTTGGTGAACACGGCTGTATAGGTTGGAGGCCGTCCTGGTGGCGAACACGGTTGTGTGGGTTGGAGATCGCCCTGGTGGTGAACACGGCTGTATAGGTTGGATACCGCCCTGGTGACGAACACGGCTGTATGGGTTGGAGACCGCCCTGGTGGCAAAGACGGCTGTATGGGTTGGAGACCTCCCTGGTGGCAAACACGGCTGCATGGGTTGGAGACCTCCCTGGTGGCGAACACGGCTGTATGGGTTGGAGATCGTCCTGGTGGCAAACATGGCTGTATGGGTTGGAGATCGTCCTGGTGGCAAACATGGCTGTATGGGTTGGAGATCGTCCTGGTGGCAAACACGGCTGTATGGGTTGGAGGTCGTCCTGGTGGCGAACACGACTGTACGGGTTGGAGATCGTCCTGGTGGCAAACACGGCTGTATGGGTTGGAGGTCGTCCTGGTGGCGAACACGACTGTACGGGTTGAAGATCGTCCTGGTGGCGAATAC